GACTGAAAACCAAAACCAAGGTCGCAACAACATCTGTTATAGAACTCCAGTATGCTGATGACAACGTTGTCTGTGCGCATTTAGAAGACCTATAAGCCACTCTAAACACCTTCGCAGAAGCATACGAGAAGCTCGGCCTGTCATTGAACATTGAGAAAACCAAAATGCTCTTCCGGAGTCACCAGCCAATCCCTCTCCAATGCCAGTGATACAGCTTCATGGGGTAACATTAGAAAATGTGGACCATTTCCGCTCCCTTGGCAGCCACCTCTCCACCAAAGTCAACATTGACACTGACACCGCCTGAGCTCTGCGAGTGCAGCATTTTTCCGAATGAAGCAGAGAGTATTTGAGGACCGGGATATCCATAGGGAGACCAAGGAGCTTGTTTATAAAGCTATTGTCCTTCCAACCCTGCTCTATGCCTGAGAAACGTGGACTGTCTACAGACGTCACACTCAACTCCTAGAACGATTTCATCAGTGTTGCCTCCGAAAAATCCTGCAAATCTCTTGGGAAGACAGGCGGACAAATGTCAGCGTGCTGGAAGAAACAGAGACCATCAGCATTGAAGTGATGGTCCTCCGCCATCAACTCCGCTGGACCGGCCACGTTGTCCGGATGCCCGACCACCATCTCCCAAAGCAGTTGCTCTACTCTGAACTTAAGAACAGAAAACGTAATGTTGGAGGACAGGAAAAGAGAGTGAAAGATGGGCTCAAAGCCAACCTTAAAGACTCTGGCATAGACACCAAGAGAGAACTGGGAAGCCCTGGCCCTTGAGCGCTCCAGTTGGAGGTCAGCTGTGACCAGCAGTGCTGCAGAATTTGAAGAGGCACAAATGGAGGGCGAAATAGAGAAACGTGCCAAGAGGAACCCTGACTGGGACCTCCTTCCATCTGGAAACCCATGCCCTCCTCACTGCGGGAGAAGATGCGGGTCAAGAATCGGTCTCCACAGTCACCTACGGACCCCCCACCAGGACACCGATCTTGGAGGATAATGCTATTCGGACAACGAGGGATCCCCTAAGTAAGTGAGTGAGTAACTCCCACAGGGAAACCCTAGGGACTGCCCCGCACTAGCAGAGCTGCATCATAAACCTTCCAAACCTAGATAAGCATTCTTTGCTTTTGGGACTGTTTGGAATCAGGACCGTGCCCGTTATCCAGTACACGTTTGCCTAGCTGTGTACGCAAATATGTTTTGCCTGTTGTCAGTGTTGAGATGTCTGTTTTTTAATGGTTGCAAGTTGCTCTGGGTCCTGAACTGAGGGGAAGATAGGCTCCCGTGTCAAACTGCATTAATTCTGCAGTGTTGATGCCGGACCCATAAACTGCACTACGAAACTGCATTGTATGGCAGTGCAGACGGGGTCCTGGGGTCCTGAATCCTACTCTCTCTGCCTTGAATCGTTTCCTTATGTGTTTAATTACTTTGTGTTTTCATTTCTTTCTGTCTCTTTCTTTCTAAGCTCCTGGGAACAAAAGTTATCTGTGAAAAACGAGGTAATGTTCCTTTTGCAAGAGTATTGGTTGTTTTCATGTAACTTCGGGTTTGTGGGGATTTTCCACTCCAAAGGTCAGCAGCGCTGTTGTTTACTTCTTTCCCTCTCAGACTTGGCTCTTGCTCCATCGTGCGGGGAGAGACAAGAAGCACCGCTCTGCCTTCCTGCCATCCATAGGTTCAAAAGTATCTTCCAACCGCATGGTTTTGTGCATGACTACGTTGCCTTTTGTGCATGACTACGTTGTGGAACGCGACAGGTTGAGAAGGCCTTATCTGAAATGCTTTGGACCAGAAGTGCTTTGGGTTTCAAATGGTTGTTTTTCTTCTGGATTTTGTACAACCTGCATTTGCAGAAAGTTATATTATGAGACACCTTGGACAACCTACATTTGCACAAGTGCATATCATGAGATACTGTGAACAACCTACATTTGCACACATGCATATCAGGAGACACCTTGGACAACCTACATTTGTACACATGCATATCATAAGATACTGTGAACAACCTATATTTGCACACATGCATATTAGGAGATACATTGAACAACTTGCACAAAAGTATATTGCAAGATATCTCGGGCAACCTGCATTTGCACAAGTGCATATCATGCGATACCTTGGTCAACTTGCATTTGCACAACTGCATATCGGGAGATACCTTTGACAACTTATATTTGCACAAGTGCATATCATGAGACACCTTGGACAACCTCCATTTGTACATATGCATATTGGGAGATACATTGAACAACTTGCACAAAGCTATATTGCAAGATACCTTTGACAACCTGCATTTCCACAAGTGTATATCATGCGATACCTTGGCTAACTTGAATTTGCACAACTTCATATTGGGAGATCCTATGGGCAACCTGCATTTGCACAAGTGCATATCATACGATACCTTGCACAACCTGCATTTGCACAAATGCACATCGGGAGATACCTTGGACAACCTGCATTTGCACAACTGCATATAGGTATTACATTATTTTTCCACATAATCACCATTCAGTTCAATACATTTTGTCATCTGTGGGACGGGTTTTGGATGCCTGTGTCAGAGAAGGTTCTCTTTGCCTTTTTCAGCCAGTTCGTCCTTCGATTTTCACCTTGCCATCGTCAGAAAAGTATTTTCCACCCAAGTGTTCCTTCAATTTAGTTGAAGAGATGGTAGTCACTGAGTGCAAGATCAGGGCTGTGAGAGGGGTGGCTTAAAGCATCCCAACTACATGAAGTCAACAACTCTTGTGTTGCATGAATGGTGTGTAGATGCGCATTGTCATGAAGGAGACAGACTCCCACTGTCAGCATCCTGCTGGATGGCTCTGTGAAGTTTCTTCATGGTCTCACAATATATTCCACACCCATTTTGTCACATGCTGTTGTGACATTATGCCCTCTCCATAAACTGAAACAATTTTGCAATGAATCGCAGCAGCCCTTCGCATTTAGGTAATGTATTACAGTGCAAACTTTGCACCGGGAGGGAAACGGAATGAGGGTGTTCATCTCTAACCTTCATCACAATGCCAGTCGATGAGCAACAGGCGACTGGCACTGCTCGCTCGCTTCCCCTGGCTTCCTACTACACTGCAGTGAGACCAACTTCCTCCGAGAAAATTCCCCACAAGACCTACGTACCTTGTAACCTTACTTTCCGGATATCCTTTTTACAGCACGAACTTCGCACTTGGAGGAAAATGGAATGAGGGTGTTCATCTCTAACCTTCATCACAATGCCAGTCGATGAGCAACTGACGACTGGCACTGCTCGCTCGCTTCCACTGGCTTCCCACTACACAGTAGTAATGCAACTTCCCCTGTGAAAATTCCCCATGAGAGCTGTGTGCCTTGTAACCTTACTTTCCGGATATCCTTTTTACAGCACGAACTTTGTGCTTGGAGGGAAACGGAATGAGGGTGTTCATCTCTAACCTTCATCACAATGCCACTCGATGAGCAACTGACGACTGGCACTGCTCGTTCGCTTCCACTGGCTTCCTACTACACAGCAGTGAGACCAACTTCCCCCGAAAAAATTCCCCACAAGACCTACGTGCCTTGTAACCTTACTTTCTGGATAACCCTCACATGTCTTAAGCACGTAGCCTGAATTCCATGCACGATACGTTTAATACTTTTGTGCATGAAACAAAAGTCGGTGTTCGTTGAACCACTGGACAGCCAAGGCATCACCATCTCAGCCACCCATGCCAGAGCATTTCAGATTATGGAATTTGGGACAAGGGATGCTCCGCATGTATTGCATGTTTTGTGTGGCTTTGGGCTGACCCATTTCATTGGAGGAGTTGGGGCACAAGTGATGCATGTTGAGTGTATTTTATGGCGAATGCCCTTCCTTCCTTCCTTCCTTCCTTCCTTCCTTCCTTCCTTCCTTCCTTCCTTCCTTCCTTCCTTCCTCCTCTCCCTCCTTCCTTCCCTCCCTCTGGCTACCAGTATTAAACAACTCTAAAATCACAACAGTAAATAAAGAACACTCAAAAACAGGGGAACTCCAGACAAGAAACAATCAAGGACAGCTAATCACCCCTCAACAAAGGATTCCCCCAGGCAGTAAGATGCCACACCTGAAACTGCCAGGGCATTAAATGCTAATCAAGGGATCCAGTGGAAACATTCACACCTGCCTCAAACAGACAAGAGTTCTTTCTCCCACCCTGGACATTATTCCACAGGTATCCAATTTTCCTAGTTTCCAACAGAGCTCACAACCTCTGAGGATGCCTGCCATAGATGCAGGCGAAACATCAGAAGAGAATGCTTCTAGAACATGGTCATACAGCCCGGAAAACACACAACAACCCAAAGAACAATTAGTTTACTCTTCTTAGTTCAGAACAACATATGTACTCACATAATGTCCTTTTATGGGAGATCTAAAATGGTCTTTCTTTTGTCCATGTGGATAAACTCCTTTAGCAACTCATGAAGTCAGAGTACACCCAAACGCTTTCTCTCTCTGCCTCTCTCTTCAAACTGTCTCTCTCTGCACCCACATAGCTGAAGCCTGAACAAAAATGTAACAGTATCCAAAAGTCTGAGGCTCAGCCTGCTTCCTGGGCATTGCCTGACCAGTCAGCTCCATGCACCTTATTTTACAGTTGACACACACACACATTAACTGTTTCCTTGCATGCTCCAACAATGGTAATCACAATAATGCCATGATGGTTGACCTCTATCCTTACATTTCTCTTTGCGAATCCACATTGGGAGAACCAGAGGCAGGCACACTTTGTCTCATGAAGCACCCGAACCTTGCGGTATTGTTAGAGGGGTCTCATATTGAACTGATCTATATCTATTGAGACTTTTTGGACCACAAGGCACGATATGACAACCTTAATTCTGGTCTTAAACCACCAGGGTCTTGGTCATTGGATTCTTTGTTTTTGTCGAAATGTCAAAACATGTTGAGCGAACACCAAATAACGTTTCTTTCTTCTTTTCTTTTTTCCTCGAAGATGGTTTGCATTTTTCTTGCGACACAGCTACTATTTCACCGAGAAGCATTGTCCTGCCAAACGTACGAGTACAGGAGTAGTAATGGTGAATGCTGCCCCAAATGTGCTTCAGGTACGTGATATCCAATGCAGAAACATCAGCCTCCATGCAGTTGTTGTTATTATTATTATATCAGAAATATCTCTTCAGGTCTCAGAGCCCGATGGAACCACTTTGGCCCCATCTACACTGCCACACAATGCAGTTTCCTGACGGCTCTTGGGGAATTTCCCGCCACCTCGGTTGGTGATCCTGTTGATGCCCTGGTCGCTCTCTGGAATGGGGAGATGACTAGGGCAATAGACACGATCGCTCCAGAACGTCCCCTCAAGTAGCCGAGCTAAACCAGCTCCTTGGTTCACCGAGGAGCTGGCAGCGTTGAAGCGAAAGAAGAGGGAACTAGAGAGCGTGTGGCGTTCGGATCCGAGCGAGCCAAATCGAACACGGTTTGTGTCCTTTTTAAGGGCATATGCCGCGGCAATAAAGCCGCAAAGAAAACTTTCTTTGCGGCCACTATTGCGTCTGCAAAGAACCGTCCGGCTGAACTGTTCCGAGTTGTCAGAGGCCTGTTAAAACCCACCTCAGGATGGGTGCCCTGATGACTCGGCAGCTCGCTGTGAAGCCTTTGCTCAGTTCTTTGCAGACAAAGTCGCTTTGATCCGCTCTGGACTGGATACCATATTAACGGCAGTCTCTGAGGATGTAACACGAGCATCTGCTTGTCCGGTTTTGATGGATTCATTTCAATTGGTTCAATCCGAGGATGTGGACAAGGTGCTTGGAGGAATGAGAGCTACCACATGCATCCTAGACCCCTGCCCATCCTGGCTTCTAAGGAGGCCAGAGGGGGATTGGCCGAGTGGGTGAAGGTGGTGGTTAATGCCTCCCTTCGGGAAGGCAAAATTCCAGCCAGCTTAAAGCAAGCTGTATAAAAACCGCTGTTGAAGAAACCATCACTGGACCCCACTCAATTCGTCAACTATCGGCCTGTTTCCAATCTCCCCTTTTTGGGCAAAGTCATGGAACGTGTGGTGGACTCACAACTCCAGGCATTCTTGGTAGACACGGATTATCTGGATCCGGCACAGTCTGGCTTTAGGCCGGGGCATGGTACCGAGACAGCCTTGGTCGCCTTAGTGGATGATCTGCGTCGGGAGCTCGACAGGGGGAGTGTGTCCCTGTTGGTGCTGCTTGACCTCTCGCGGCCTTCGATACCGTCGACCACGGTATCCTTCTGGGACGCCTCGCGGGGATGGGTCTTGGAGGTACTGTTCTGCAGTGGCTCCGCTCTTCCTTGAGGGTCGGTCTCAGAAGGTGTTACTGGGAGACTCCTGTTCAACCCCACAACCTTTGTCTTGTGGAGTTTCTCAGGGTTCAATACTGTCTCCCATATTGTTTAACATCTACATGAAGCCGCTGGGCGAGATCATCCGGAGTTTCGGAATGCGATGTCATCTGTACGCAGATGATGTCCAACTCTGTCACTCCTTTCCACCTGCTACTAAGGAGGCTGTTGAGGTCCTGAACCGGTGCTTGGCCGCTGTGACGGTCTGGATGGGGGCAACAAATTGAAATTGAATCCAGACAAGACAGAGGTACTCCTGGTTAGTCGCAAGGCCGAACAGGGTATAGGGTTACAGCCTGTGTTGATGGGGTCGCACTCCCCCTGAAGACGCAGGTTCGCAGTTTGGGTGTGATCCTGGACTCATCGCTGAGCCTGGAACCCCAGGGTTCGGCGGTGACCAGGGGAGCATTCGCACAATTAAAACTTGTGCGCCAACTGCGACCGTACCTTGGGAAGTCTGACTTGGCCACGGTAGTCCACGCTCTGGTTACATCCCGTCTTGACTACTGCAACGCTCTCTACGTGGGGTTGCCTTTGAAGACGGCTCGGAAGCTCCAATTAGTCCAACGGGCGGCAGCCATGATACTAACTGGAGCGGGGCGCAGGGAGCATACAACTCCTCTGCTGCACCAGCTCCACTGGCTGCCGATTTGCTACCGGGCTCAATTCAAAGTGCTGGCGTTGGCCTTTAAAGCCCTAAACGGTTCTGGCCCAACTTATCTATCCGAACGTATCTCGGCCTATCAGCCCACCAGGACCCTAAGATCTTCTGGGGAGGCCCTGCTCTCTATCCCGCCTGCTTCACAGGTGCGGCTGGCGGGAACGAGAGACAGGGCCTTTTCTGTGGTGGCCCCTCGGCTTTGGAATGCCCTCCCCATAGAGGTGAGATCAGCCCCTTCGCTGATGGTATTTCGAAAAAGGTTGAAGACATGGATGTTTAAACAAGCATTCGATTAATCTGGTGCAACGAAACTGATGAACAAGGATTGGTTAATCACAGACGACGAAATTGGATTGCGACTACAATTAAGAGATGCATTGGATTATTATTGGTGGCCCAATAATATTGTGTTATTGTGTATGTGTTTTTATGCTTTTTAATGGAATATTGCTGCTTGTCGTTGTGTTGTAAACCGCGTCGAGTCGCCGATTTAGGCTGAGAAACGGCGGTATATAAGCACCGTAATAAATAATAAATAAATAATAAATATAATGTACTTGAACTGCGACGTTTGCACAAATGATCAGCCACTGCCAGAAGGGACAGAAAGTTTAATATATGCTGATGACCGTGCCATCACTGCTCAAGTAGGAAGCTTTCAGATGGTTGAACAGAAGCTCTCCGAAGCTTTAGGTGCTCTTACAGTGTACAGTGAGGAGCAGAGAAGAATCAACGTGCTTTGCCCTATTACAGGAAGCTCACATCTACACTGCCATATCACGCAGTTCGAAACTGCGTTATATATGCCCAGTGTAGACTCATAGAATGCAGTCTTACGATTTATCGTGTCGGAAGCAAATTGAGAATACAGTTATAATGCATTTTAAAAACCACAAACAAAAGTTGTACTAAATTTCCTTTGACCAGAAACTGGACACTTGGAGTGTGTCTGGTGTCGCCGTGAGAAGGTCCTCCATGGTGCATGTGGCACGGCTCAGGTTGCATTGTAGTCGGTGGTCTGTGGTTTGCTCTTCTCCACACTCGCATGTCGTGGACTCATAGAATCCTAGAGCTGGAAGAGACCTCATGAGCCATCCAGTCCAACCCCATTCTGTCAAGACGCAGGAAAATTGCATTCAAAGCACCCCCAACAAATGGCCATCCAGCCTCTGTTTAAAAGCTTCCAAAGAAGGAGCCTCCACCACACTCCGGGGCAGAGAGTTCCACTGCTGAACAGCTCTCACAGTGAGAAAGTTCTCCCTAATGTTCAGGTGGAATCTCCTTTCTTGGTAGTTTGAAGCCACTGTCCCATTGCGTCCTAGTCTCCAGGGAAGCAGAAAACAAGCTTGCTCCCTCCTCCTATGACTCCCCCTCACATATTTATACATGGCTATCATGTCTCCTCTCAGCCTTCTCTTCTTCAGGCTAAACATGCCCAGCTCCTTAAGCCGCTCCTCATAGGGCTTGTTCTCCAGGCGCTTGATCCTTTGAGTCGCCCTCCTCTGGACACATTCCAGCTTGTCAATATCTCTCTTGAATTGTGGTGCCCAGAATTGGACACAATATTCCAGGTGTGGTCTAACCAAAGCAGAATAGAGCATGGGGAGCATGGCTTCCCTAGATCTAGGCACTAGGCTCCTCTTGATGCAGGCCAAAATCCCATTGGCTTTTTTTGCCGCCGCATCACATTGTTGGCTCATGTTTAACTTTTTGTCCACGAGGACAACAATATCTTTTCCACACGTCCTGCTCTCGAGCCAGGCATTGTCTCCCATTCTGTCTCTTTGCATTTCATGTTTTCTGCCAAAGTGGAGTATCTTGCATTTGTCACTGTTGAACTTCATTGTGTTAGTTTTGGCCCATCATCTCTCCAATCTGTCAAGATCGTTTTGAATCCTGCTCCTGTCCTCTGGAGTATTGACTATCCCAATTTGGTGTCGTCTGCAAACTTGATGATCATGACCTTCTCACCCTTCATCTAAGTCATTAATAAAGATGTTGAACAGGGCTTCACTTTGTGTCCCTATTTCTTGAGGTTGGCTCTGAATCTCGTGATGCCAGAGTGCAGTCTGTTCAGTGCCTTCCGGGTCGCCCCGTCTTTTGTTTACCCAGAGGGCGTTTCTCATCCGGTCTCAGCCACTGATTGAGGCTCCAGGTTCTAACCTGCCACTTTTGGACTCTCACTTGCTGAGGTGCTTTTGTGAGTATCTCTGTAGATCTCCGGAAGCTATTTCTTGGTTTAAAGCATTGGCTTGCTGGTTGATATCCAAACAGAGGATGGGCCAGAGTTGTCAATGTTTGATCCTTTCATTAATGGCTGCTACTTCCCGGCAGATGTCAGGTGGTGCAATACTGGCTAAGCAGTGTAGTTTCTCCAGTGGTGTAGGGCACAGACACCCTGTGATAATGCGGCATGTCTCATTAAGAGCCACATCCACTGTTTTAGCGTGGTGAGATGTGTTCCACACTGGGCGTGCGTACTCAGCAGCAGAGTAGCATAGCACAAGGGCAGATGTCTTCATTGTGTCTGGTTGTGATCCCCAGGTTGTGCCAGTCAGCTTTTGTATGATATTGTTTCTAGCACCCATTTTTTGCTTGATATTCAAGCAGTGCTTCTTATAAGCCAGAGCATGGTCCAGAGTGGCTCCCAGGGATTTGGGTGTGCTGCCATTTCTTTCTTCCTTTATTTCGGGCATTTATATCCCATCCTTCAGCGTAACTCCCAGGTGTTTGGGTGTGCTGCAATGTTCCAGTGGGATTCTTTCCCGGGTAATCCTCAGGTAATGTCTGTTCTTAAGATGAAAAGTACACATCTGCATTGTAGATGGCTTAGGAATCACCTGGTTTCCCCTGTAATAGGCAGTAAGAGCACCAAAAGCTTTGGAGATCCTTTTTTCCAAATTCCATTTGTGAGCCACAGCCATGTTTTTTCCTTGTCCATTTGGCTCTCAATGTTTCCCAGGAACTGTCCATGGAGAGAGAGCCTTCTTTGGTCAGTTTTCTCTTCTGCTCTGGGTTCACTCTTTGTTCTTTGCACTTTAAGCAGTTTACTACTCTTGACTTCCCTCAAAGTGGGTTCTTGACTGCCTTTCCCATCATCTGCCAGTTTCTCTTCTTCTCCCATGTTTTTCCCTTGCGGAATCCTTCTTCTCTCTGCCTCCTGATTTTCTGGGCAGGTAAAATCTGTTGACATCACTAGACGGGTGTCATGAGAAGTGGATTGTCATCAGTTTCCTTGTTTTTCTGTCCAGATCCTCCAGCTCTGCTTGTGTCCAGTTCACAATCCCAGCCGTGTCTCTGATAACGGGGATGGCCCAGGGGTGGACAGCCTTGATCGTATTTCTAACATTTAATTTGCTCTTCAAAACCTTTCTGACTCTTTGAATATATTCTTTGCTGACCACATTTTTCACTTGCCCATGCTTGATGTTGTCCAACTGTAGTATGCCCAGATATTTATAGGTCTCGGGCTGATTGCACTTTATGGTTTGCCCGTTTGGCATCTCCATGCCCTCGCTGTGGGTAATGTTCCCTTTCTTTCATGCCACTGTGGCGCATTTGTCTAGGCCGAACTCCATACGGATGTCAGTGCCGAAGATTCTGACTGTGTTGGTCAGTGACTCGATTTCTGTTTCTGATTTCCCGTAAAGCTTTAGATCATCCATGTACAGCAAGTACTTTCGATGAATTTCTTGCTGTTTGGTAGCCTAGGTTTGTTTTATGTAGAATTACTGACAGTGGGATCATTTCTTTACAGCATTTTTACCCCGCCCTTCTCAACCCCTGAGGGGGGGGGACAGAGTGTGGGGTGGGGGGGACATTGCAATGATGAACAGCCGTGGTGACAGTGAGTCGCCCTGGAAAATTCCTCTCTTGATGTTAACAGTTCCATAGCTTTCATTGCCCACAAACAACTCAGTTTTCCATTGTTTCATTGCATTTTCGGTGAACTTTCTAATATTTTCACAATATTATTATTATTATTATTATTATTATTATTATTATTATTATTATTAAAATTCCTCTCTTGATGTTAACAGTYCCATAGCTTTYGTTGCCCACRAACAACTCAGTTTTCCATTGTTTCATAGCATTTTCRGTGAACTTTCTAATATTTTTACAATATTATTATTATTATTATTATTATTATTATTATTATTATTATTATCATCATCATCTCATTCCATCATAAGTGAATTGGTCCCAACGTCTTCACCATAAGCTCCCACAGAAACGTCAGCCAGTTTAGAAATCACCCTGAATGAAAGCAACCATCGCACAAACCATCTGTTTGGATGTCTTTCTTGCAGGAAATAGAGTCGCAAAGCCCTGTACCACCAGTTCAAGTACAACATGTGTCCCGTGTTCAGAGGGTACATATACAGACCACCCAAATGGACTGGCGGAGTGCTTTCAATGCCTACCCTGTGATCCAGGTAAATACAGGAGAGAGAGCAACGTATGGATGTGACTCGGAACTCGACCTATTCTATATCAATAGAGACAATGCTTTCTGTCACTCTGCTTAACTGTTTCTTCTATTCTAACTGTTTATTATGCCAAGTCCGGAATATAGTATTGGAAGGGAATGGTATCACATGAGCTGTTATTGTCAGTCATGCATCCAAATATTCCCATATGCTTTTCTTCCTCCTTGGAGAAGCACCCTGCTTCCCCGCAGTCTCCCAATGCATAGTTCCAAAATTTCCGTAACTTCAAAACTTCAAAATGCAACCTTTCCCCAACCACAACGCCAAGGACCAGCTCTCTGTTTTCCATACAACAGAACCTGACTCCCTACACAAATTCCAAGACTCCCAAAGCGCACTTCTTCCTTTTCCCTTGAGAAAGAAGCCCATAGCATATCTGACACTCTCTGAATACACCATCTCTGTCCTTCCTATGGACCAGAGAGGCAGGTGGAACAGACTCCTCAGGTCTGCCACAATTTGAGAATTATTAGATTGAGTCTTTTATAGGAATATTCTGTTGATGTCGTCCCAAAGTTGTAAATTAATGATAGATGTTTTCCATCCTGGAATATGTTGACTTCAACTCAGTTTCCTGGCCAGATTTTGATTCTTCTTGATTAGTGTTGACAAACGCAAGGCTTGTGTTGACTTCCTTCTTAACATAAGGAATGTTGTAAACATTTCCTTAACTTAAAATAATCATTGTCACACTTCTTATCACAGTTTACTTTTCAGTTCTCATTAGCAGGTTTTAATTGCAGTCCAGCAAACAGGTTTAGTCATTACTGGCCTTGAATTGGTGTCTCCAAAATTATTAGCTCTACTCATTCATTCATCTTCCATTCTTCCATTCTTACCCACATATTTATTTCTTACTAGCTGTCCCCTACCACGTGTTGCTGTAGCCCAGTATGTGTATATGTGTTTTGTGTGTGTGTATATATGTGTATATGTTTGAGTATATGTGTATATATGTGAGTTTGTGTAGATATGTGGTATTGTGCATGCGTTGTAATGCAATTTTAGGCGTTTTGGCTTTTTAAGTCTCTTTTGTTGTGTTTTTCAGTGTTTTACTGAGTGATGGTCACTTGTTGTCCTGACTGCTGTCTTGTGTCCAAATTTGGTGTCAATTTGCCCAGTGGTTTTTGAGTTATGTTAATCCCACAAACTAACATTACATTTTTATTTATATAGATTCTATTATTATTCTATTATTATTATTATTTTATGCTATTATTGTTATTATTGTTACTATTATATTTCTATGACCCTCTGCGCATGCTCAGGAACAGTAGCCTAGCTTTGCAGTGCTGGATTTCTAATTATTATTATTATTATATTAATATTATTATTATTAAATTTTATTTATTTTTATTTTGCTTTTTAAGTCTCTTCTCCTGTGTTTTCCAGTATTTTTTATGAGTGGTGGTCACTCCCTGGCCTGAGAGATGTCTTGTGTCCAAATTTGGTGTCAATTTGCCCAGTGGTTTTTGAGTTATGCTAATCCCACAAACGAACATGACATTTTTATTTATATAGATTTATTTATTTATTTACTGTATTTATATCCCGCCTCTCTCAGCCCAGAGGTGACTCGGAGCGGTTCACAAAATGGCAGCAATTCGATGCCATAACTCATAGCCGTTTACTCATAGTTTCTTCATCACTACCAGACTCACTGGCAACCCGCTTTACTCCCCGGTAATCCAATTCCTCCAAATCCTCGGGTCCAAACCCTGCAAAATCTTCCGTGTCGCTAGGTGCCAAAATAATATCTCGAATATGCTTCAGCTGATGCTGATCCAGTTCTGACTCAGCATCACTCCTCCTTCTCCTACAACCGGTAGTAGTTTCACTGCCAAGACGCTGAGCCTCAACACTCACACTTATAACAAATAAAAACAATCATAAAGTTCCATTAAAACAATAATAGCATCTATATAAATAAAAATGTCATGTTCGTTTGTGGGAATAACAGAACTCAAAAACCACTGGACGAATGGACACCCCAATTTGGACACAAGACACCTCTCAGGCCAACGAATGACCATCACTCATAAAAACACTGAAAAACACAGCAGAAGAGACTTGAAAAGCCAAAAAACATTACAATGCATGCGCAAAACCACATATACACAAACACACATATGTACACATATACACAAATATATACACAAATGCATACGTATACACACACACACAAAACACATATACACAGACTGGGCCACAGCAGCGCGTGACAGGGGACGGCTAGTATGATATAAAAATATAAAAACCGTACAAAGCCTTAAAACATGATCATGAGCGCCTCCACATTTATCAAATCTGCACGTGGGATTTCTTATTACACGGGTGAAAAAGACCTTGGGGTCCTCGTGGGGAGGAAGGGGGACATGAGCCGGGAATGTCATGCGGCCGCTAAAAACGCCAGTGGGATTTTGGCCTGCATCAATCGGAGTCTCATGCCTAGATCCAGGGAAGTCATGCTTCCCGTGTTTCTGCTGCCCTGAAGACTAGGACACAGAACGATAGGTTCAAACTACAGGAAAGGAGATTCCACCTGAACATGAGGAACTGTGAGAGCTGTTCAGCAGTGGAACTCTCTGCCATGTAGTGGAGTGTAGTGGAGGCTTTGAAACAGAGACTTGATGTCCATCTGTGGGGGGGGGGGGTGCTTTGAATGCAGTACAAATTGAAATTTGCCAGGGATCTTCTTAGTCCCACTGGGGATGTTGCCATAATCACCATGTCATCAGCTAAAGCAAAGGGTGCTTTGAATGCAATGTTCCTGCTTCTTGCCAGGATGGGGTTGGACTAGATGACCCATGAGGTCTCTTCCAACTCTATGACTCTGGGATTGTAGTTTCAAGTCTGTGTTGTTATTTGTTTTGTGTCCTTCAGGAGCTCACCTGAAAGTTAAAGAGGAATGCACGTACACCAAGAACACTGTCTGTACCTGCATCCCAGGTTACTTCTGCAGCCATCCAATGAATGAGAAGCCCTGTGAGATATGCACCCAACATACTGTCTCCCCACCTGGTTATATGGTGATACAGGAAGGTAAGACAAATGCTTTGGTTGTGGGTGAACTACAACTCCCGCTATGGTGAGTCAGTCCCATCAAACCCTCCAGTAGGTTGAGTTAGTCATGGGGGCTCYCTGTGCCAAGTTTGGTCCAGGACCATCATCGGTGGAGGTCATTGTTTCTTTGGTTGTGGGTGAACTACAACTCCCACTATGGTGAGTCAGTCCCATCAAACCCTCCAGTAGGTTGAGTTAGTCATGGGGGCTCTCTGTGCCAAGTTTGGTCCAGGACYATCATCGGTGGAGGTCATTGTTTCTTTGGTTGTGGGTGAACTACAACTACCAGWAAGGAGGGTCAGTTCCCCCCAAACCCATCCAGTAAACAAATTTCGACATATCAGGTATGTGTGCCAAGTTTGACCCAGATCCATTCGTGTTTTGGTTCACAGTGCTCTCTGGATGTAGGTGAACTATAGCTCTCCCAAATCAAGGTGAATTTCTCCCAAAGACCTCCAGTATTTTTGTTGGTCATGAGGTCTCTGTGTGCCAAGTTTGGTCCAGTGCCATCTTTGGTGGAGTTCGGAGTGCTCATTGATTGCAGGTGAACTATAAATCCCATAACCTACAACTCCAAAATGTCCAGGCTAATTTCCCTCAGAACACACCAGTATCCAAATTTGGGCATATGTCGGGTATGCATGCCAAGTTTGGTCCAGATCCATCGTTGTTTGGGTTCATGGTGCGCTCTGGATGTAGGTGAACTATAAATCCTATAAATCCTTCCAAAGACCTCCAGTATGCTTTGTTGGTCATGGGGGGTCCGTGTGCCAAGTTTGGTCCAATTCCATCTTTGGTGGAGTTCAGAGTGCTCATTGATTGCAGGTGAACTATGCATCCCAGGAACTACAACTCCTATAAATCATGGTGAATTCTCCCCAACCCCCCCCCCCCTTACGTTTAGTTGCGGATCAATTCCTCTCTGTTTGCTGTGCATCATAGAAAAGAGTAGGAAAGGGTTAAGGGAGAAGCAGTGGGCGGGGTCATGCAAATTCCGCAGCAATGGAGAGAGTCAGAAACACTGGGATGTCTGTGGTGGAGGAAACACATAACATCCAGGATGAAATGGTCCCCATTGGAAAGCCTTCCCTTGGGTGGTGGGCAGCGTGGTGTTTGCGGAGGACATTGGCAGGGCTCGTGGACATGTTCATGGCGCTCGCGATAACCTGCAGTGTCATTGGAGGGAGGGCCATTGGTGACTCCTGAGTAGTGGAAGCTAGAGCTGTTTGTGGAGGCAGGAGCATGTCAGTGTAAGTGGATACCCCACTTACATATTTTCACTTTCATTATGATTAGCATATATGAGGGTTGAATGAAAAGTAATGCCTCCCCCTTCGTAACTCCTCAACAGATGGCAGTACTGGAATGCGGCAGGTACTGGCTTGTTCAGTAGACTCTCCTCTACAGTTCCATTTTGGCAGGAAGCCTTAGCATTGAACGGTTGTGTTGTTAAAGTGAAAAGTAGTGCCTCCACCCTTGTAACTCCTCAACAGATTGCAGTACTGGTATGCGGCAGGTACTGGCTTGTTCACTAGACTCTCCTCTACAGTTCCATTTTGGCAGGAAGCCTTAGCATTGAACAGTTGTGTTGTTAAAGTGCGAAGTATGGAACCCTGCACAGTCGGTCAATGCAACTTAAGCAACGTGCAGTCATTGCATTCTTGACAGCAGAAGGTGTCACCCCAAAGGAGATTCCTCAGAGAATGCAAGCTGTTTATGGTGGTTGTGTTGATGTGAGTACTGTGCATCGTTGGGCGAGAAAGTTTAAAGACACTTTCTGCTGTCAGGAATTCAATGACTGCACGTCGCTTAAATCGCATTTACCGACCATCTGCTTAGGGTTCCATATTTCACAGTTTAACAACACAATCATTCAATGGTAAAGCTTCCCACCAAAATGGAACTGTAGAGGAGAGTCTACTGAACAAGCCAATACCTGCCACATACCAGTACTGCCATCTGATGAGGAGCTACGAAGGTGGAGGCATTACTTTTCACTTTAACAACACAGCCGTTCAATGGTAAGGCTTCCCACCAAAATGGAACTGTAGAGGAGAGTCTACTGAACAAGCCAGTACCTGCCGCATAGCAGTACTGCCATCTGTTGATGAGTTATGAAGGTGGAGGCATTACTTTTCACTTTAACAAGACAACCGTTCAATGCTAAGGTTTCCTACCAAAATGGAACTGTAGAGGAGAGTCTACTGAAGAAGCCAGTACCTGCTGCATATGGTGCTTAAGTCACATTGACCGAACGTCTGCACAGGGTTCCATACTCTGCACTTTAACAACACAACTGTTCAATGCTAAGGCTTCCCACCAAAATGGATCTGTAGAGGAGAGTCTACTGAACAAGCCAGTACCTGCCACATACCAGTACTGCCATCTGTTGAGGAGTTACAAAGGTGGAGGCATTACTTTTCATTCAACCCTCGTATATAAGGCATTGCCCTGGTAATTATGTTAAGACTTCATTTGGGGGTCTTGGCCAAAACATCTTTTGATATTAAGTCAGTCTCCATTCTTTTGCAGGCACAGAAACCAACGATACCAAGTTTGTACGTTGCCCATCTGGAACTTTCTCAGAAATGAAGATGTCTTCCTCCTGCGAGCCTTGGACGGAGTAAGTGCCTGCCTCTTTCTCTGTCTCCGGGTGCGTCTGCACAGTAGAAGGAAGACAGTTTGAGACCACTTCAAATGCCATGGCTCTGTGCCGTGGAATCCTGAAAGTTGTAGTTCGGTGAAGCTTAGGCACTCTTTGGCAGAGAAGTCTAAGGAACCCTGTAAAACTACATCCTGCTCTTTGTGATCGTCACGACACGGAGGGAATTCTTTAATAATAATAATAATAATAATAATAATAATAATAATATATTAATAATCTTGTAATATTATTAATAATATTATGTTATAATATAATAGTATCCTATCTATAATAATAATAAGAAGAATCTATTATAATCTATCTATTCTAATAATAATTATATCCAGTTATATTAATAACGTATTATAATCTATTATAACCTATCTAGTCTAATAATAATATAATAATATCCTATCTATAATCATAATAATGATGTATTTTAATCTGTTATAAATTATCTATTCTATTAACGTAAAAATAATATCATATCTATAATCATAATAATGTAATAATCTGTTATAACCTATCTGGTCTAATAATGTAATAATAATATCCTATCTATAATGATAATTTATTATAATCTATCTATTCTAATAATGTAATAATAATATCCTAGCTATAATTATTAGGCTTGGGCGATCCAGTTTGTTAATTTCGTTATTCGTTATTAATTCGTATTTAAATTAGCTTACGATCCAATATCGAGCCATGCAGGAACAGTGTGAGGAGTAATTAAGAATCGAAACATTTTTTCCAATTTTCGTAATTATTTCGTAATTATTTTCGTAATATAATATAATAATATATAATATATAATATAATATATTATAATAATATAATATACAATAATATAATATAATAATATTATTATAATATATATAATATAATATATAATATAGTAATATTATAATAATATAATATAATATACAATAATATAATATAATAATATTATAATATAATATACAACAATATAATATAATAATATAATTATAATATAATAATATAATATAATATAATATAATATAATATAATATAATATAATATAATATAATATAATATAATATAGTTGTTGTGTGTTTTATCACACCAACAGTCAACAACAGAGGGAGAGGGAAGCTTCAGAAGTTCCCCCTGTCCCATTTGGAGGTTTTTTTAGCATATTGCGCAATTGCCTCCGTCATTAACGAATCAATTCGAAATTTACGAAATTTTGTAAATTTCGAAATTTTGAAAAGGACAATTTCGGAAGTCCAAAAAAAACCGAAACGCCATAGCCCCCTACAAACGAAACGAGTTTAGAACCAAATTTTTCCGTTGTTACCCAAGCCTAATAATTATAATAATGATGTGTTATAATCTGTTATAATCTATTCTAATAATGTAATAATATCCTATCTATAATTATAATAATGTATTATAATCTGTTATAATCTATCTATTCTAAATAATAATAATAATAATAATAATAATAATAATAATAATATCCTGTCTATTATCATAATATCATAACTATTATGGTTGTGCAGCGGGTTAAACAGCTGAATTGCTGAACTTGCTGACCAAAAGGTCGGCGGTTCGAATCCATGGAGCGGGATGAGCTCCTGCCTTAGCCCCAACCTAGCAGTTCAAAAACATGTAAATGCGAGTAGATCAATAGGTACGACTTCTGTGGGAAGGTAACAGCTCCACGCAGTCATGCAGGCCACATTCCTTTGGAACGGTCTACAGACAACACCGGCTCTTTGGCTTAGAAATGGAGATGAGCACCGCCCACCGGAGTCAGACACAACTAGACAATGTCAAGGGGAAATGTTTTAGTTTTACCTTTAATAAGAATATTAATAACTAGCTGTACCCGCCACACAATCTTTCCCCCTTCCTTCGCTCCCTCTTTCCTTCACTCCCTCTTTCCTTTCCTTCTCTTCTTCCTTCCTTCTCTATCTCTTTCCTTCCTTCCCCCTTTTTCTTTCTCTTCGGCTGTCTCTCTTTTCTTCCTTCTCTCTTTCCTTCTTTCCTTCCTTCCCTTCCTCTTTCTCTACATCTTTCCCCCTTCCTTCGCTCCCTCTTTCCTTCACTCCCTCTTTCCTTTCCTTCTCTTCTTCCTTCCTTCTCTATCTCTTTCCTTCCTTCCCCCTTTTTCTTTCTCTTCGGCTGTCTCTCTTTCCTTCCTTCTCTCTTTCCTTCTTTCCTTCCTTCCCTTCCTCTTTCTCTACATCTTTCCCCCTTCCTTCGCTCCCTCTTTCCTTCACTCCCTCTTTCCTTTCCTTCTCTTCTTCCTTCCTTCTCTATCTCTTTCCTTCCTTCCCCCTTTTTCTTTCTCTTCGGCTGTCTCTCTTTTCTTCCTTCTCTCTTTCCTTCTTTCCTTCCTTCCCTTCCTCTTTCTCTACATCTTTCCCCCTTCCTTCGCTCCCTCTTTCCTTCACTCCCTCTTTCCTTTCCTTCTCTTCTTCCTTCCTTCTCTATCTCTTTCCTTCCTTCCCCCTTTTTCTTTCTCTTCGGCTGTCTCTCTTTTCTTCCTTCTCTCTTTCCTTCTTTCCTTCCTTCCCTTCCTCTTTCTCTACATCTTTCCCCCTTCCTTCGCTCCCTCTTTCCTTCACTCCCTCTTTCCTTTCCTTCTCTTCTTCCTTCCTTCTCTATCTCTTTCCTTCCTTCCCCCTTTTTCTTTCTCTTCGGCTGTCTCTCTTTCCTTCCTTCTCTCTTTCCTTCTTTCCTTCCTTCCCTCCCTCTTTCTCTACATCTTCCTTCCTTCCTTCGCTCCCTCTTTCCTTCCTTCTTTCCCCTTTTTCTTTCCTTCTCTCCTTCTTTCCTTCTCTTACTTTCCTTCCTTCCCCCTTTTTCTTTCCCTCCCTCATTCTCTCCTTTCTTCCTTCTCTACCTTCCCTCCCTCCCTCTTTGCTTCCATGCTTCCTTCTCCCTTTCCCTCCACAACCTGGGAGTGGCTGATTTATCCCTTCATGGGCCCTTCTTTCCTTTTCCTTTTCACTCCAGTTGCAGTAAGGAAGGCTTGGTCGAAGTCCGCTCCGGCAGCGCCTCTTTGGACGCGGTGTGTGGACGCCCAAAGCCGGGCAAGAGGAGTCGAACGCAGTTGTATCCCCTTCTGATTGTGGGTTTTCTCCTTTTGGTTGTTTCACCTCTTGGCATGATTTACCGCAGAGGACAGCAATCCACCAAAAAAGGTAGGTGTGCCAAACACGTCCCCGGCACCCCCACCTCCAGCCGTAAGGAGAGGCGGGTAATAATAATAATAATAATAATAATAATAATAATAATAATAATATGCCTTATTATTTATATTTCGCTCTGTCTTCCCAAGTGGACTCAGGGCAGATTATAGAACACATATACGGCAAACACTCAATGCCGTTACACAATCAACAAGGGCAGACAATTACACACACAGAGGCAAAGGCTTCCCGTCTTTTCCCGTCTCCGGCACCTGGAGGCTGTGCTCGGCTCCGGCCACAGGGGGTGCTGTGGCTCCATCTTCCACGCCAAGAAGCCTTCTTGTCCACAGACAACTCTTCCTGTTCAACTCCCATTAAAAACAAACAAGCAATGCCTTTACAATGATAGACAATGGGACACACGCAAACACAAACAAAGGCAGAGGCTTCTCCTTTTCCATTTCCGGCTTCTGGAGGAAGAGCTTGCCTCCATTTTCAAGCCATTGTCATCTCCTGATTGTGTGACCCACAAGATTGCTCTTTGCTATTTCCCACCAAAGTGATACCTATTTATCTACTCACACATTACATATTTTTTTTTATTATTATTATTATTATTATTATTATTATTATTATTACTTTATTTGTACCCCGCTAGCATCTCCCAAGGGATTCGATGCGGCTTACAACAGGCCGGAGCCCAACATAATACAACAATACAGTACATAGCAAATAAAACAGTTAAGCAGAAAACAATAAAAACAATAACAATACCACAAGACATTATTAAAAACTGAGCCGGCCGGAGTATTTATTTATTTATTTATTTATTTATTGCATTTGTTGACCGCCGTTCTCAGCCCCTTAGGGCGACTCACGGCGGTGTACAACATATAAAAACAGTTTACAATACATATAATTAAACTAAATCATCCGCGTCGTCTCAACATAGAATCATAAGCCAATCTCATAGTCCATATTCCGTTCCAGTCGTCTTTGCCAATTGTTATAGCACTTAGTTAAACGCCTTTTCGAATAGCCATGTTTTTAGGCTCTTACGGAATGCCATAAGTGAGGGCGCCTGTCTGATTATTAAAAACTGAGCCGGCCGGAGTAGGGGTACAGGATTAAAAGTGCTGAAGTGTCGGAGGGATATGGGATTAAAATAAGTGCGGTGTGCAGTGTGCGGTGATCATGGTTCTACTAAAGTGCTTCTGGGATTTGGTAGTGGGGTTCCTAATCTGAAAAGGCACGTTGGAACAGCCAGGTTTTCAGATTCTTTCTGAAGACCACCAACGTAGGGGCTTGTCTGAGATCTTTCGGGAGGGCATTCCAGAGGCGGGGGGCCACCACAGAGAAGGCCCTGTCTCGCATCCCCACCAAGCGCGCTTGTGACGCGGGCGGGATCACGAGCAGGGCCTCTCCTGATGACCGGAGTGGTCCCAAACCGTTCAGGGCTTTGTAGGTAAGCACCTGCGCCTTAAATTGGGCTCGGAAAATAAACGGCAGCCAGTGGAGCTCCTTAAACAGAAGGGTTGACCTCTCTCTGTAATGGGCCCCAGTTAGCATCCTGGCTGCTGCCCGTTGGACCAATTGGAATTTCCGAGCCGTTTTCAAGGGCAGCCCCATGTAGAGTGCATTGCAGTAATCCAGTTTGCTGGATTGGCAGGAACTGGAGGTGACAAATGGAAGCTCACCCCGTCTTATGGATCAAATTGCTGACCATTAGGTCAGCAATTCAGCCAATCTTCAGGTCAGCAGTTCAGCCAACTTTCAGGTCAGCAGTTCAGCAAACCTTCAGGTCACCAGTTCAGCCAACCTTCAGGGCACCAGTTCAGCCAACCTTCAGGTCAGCAGTTCAGTCAGCCTACAGGTCAGCAGTTCAGCCAACTTTCAGGTCACCAGTTCAGCCAACCTTCAGGGCACCAGTTCAGCCAACCTTCAGGGCACCAGTTCAGCCAACATTCAGTTTATTATGCCGAGAGAAGCAACCTCCAAATTGTCCTTGAATCTGATATGGAAACCAACTTGAGTCAGAGATAAAGCACATTTCTGACAAAGCCCTTTCTTTGGTCTTTTCCAGGTGCTGCTGAGGAAGAGGTGAGTGCCTTTCCGATGGCGGATCCGATTAATACGGGAATCTCTGGGTTCCCCAGCGTGGGTCTTTCTTGGAGTGAAGGCGGGGGGGGGGGGGGCGGGGGAACGGGAGGAACGTGGGGCACTCCTCTTTATTATTCCCTACTCCTAACGACGCCAGTTCTCCTTCGCCGTGACGTTGTTTTCCTTGGCTTTGTTTTAGAAGGAAGAGCGGGAAGGAGACTACATCCCCGTTCAAGAAAGGAACGTCATGGTCATACCGATGCAGGAGACTTCTCCGAATCACGGAGAACCGAGCTATCGGACCTTTCCTTCCGTCGACCAAGCTTTGGGTTGAAAAAAACAAATCGTCAACACGTGTCAAGGCTCATCCCCCAGCGGATGATTTCAAAACATGGCCGGGGAACATGACCGAGCTCCTTCCCTGAGTTCCTTGTAGCCGTCCTCTCTCCTCAGGCCAAAACTGGACGACGGAGCGGACGAGTGAGTGAAGGAGGCGAGAAAGGAGAAGACGGAGTCGGAGGAGAGAGGAGGCTCCGAGGGCCATCCAGCCCAACCCCAGTCTTCCATTCAGGAAAATACAGCCCAAGCCCTCCTGACTGATGGCCACTCTGTTTCAAGAGCTCCAGAGAAGGAGACTCCACCACCTCCACCATCTACGACCACCCAGAAGTTTCTCCTGAGACTTTGGTGGGATCCTTTCTCCTGGAGGTTGAATCTGTGGCCTGGTGTCCTCGTCCCCTGAGCAGCAGAAAACAATGTGCCTCTCCTCAATATGACGTCCGTCCAAATATTGAAACATGACTGTCGTATCTCCTCTCAACCTTCTCCAAGCTGAACATCCCCAGCTCCCTGTATTGGAAATGCCATAACCCATCAGAAATAACTGCAGCATAACCTTATTGAAAAGGTAAAAATGATGTCACATCCGTTTGGCAAATGTGAATCTCCCTGAAAACGGAGACCACCTTTGGAAAACCACAAAGCATGGCCTTGTTAGAAGTCAACTCATAGGCATTCGTGTAATAGCACACAGGTAACTTAGCTGTTAAACTGAAGAACCATGTCTTTAAACTGCCATGGATAAAGGCATGCCACTACATAGCAGAGGATGGTCTAAAAGTCCTAACTGCAAGATGCGCCCACCTCCACTGAGGTCTGATGCAAACACATCCACCTCCAATGAGGTGGTAAGCAAATGGAATACAAAATGGAGTCCTGTGCCTGAAGCCCCTCCTACACCGAAGAGATACAGTCCAACTGGCAAACCAAAATGTACATACAAGGGTTGAATGACAAGTAATGCCTCCACCTTCGTAACTCCTCAACAGATGGCTACTGGCTTGTTGTCTACTGGCTTGTTCAGTAGACTCTCCTCTACAGTTCCATTTTGGCGGGAAGCCTTAGCATTGAACGGTTGTGTTGTTAAAGTGCGAAGTATGGAAGCCTGCGCAGACAGTCGGTCAATGCAATCCAATTGTCTGGTGATTATGTGGAAGAGTGACTACTGGTCGTTAAAGAGCACATTCCAAGGATTATTCCTGCGTTTAATTTGTTAAAATATTCCCATCCAAACCCAAGTAACGAAGGTGGAGGCATTACTTTTCATTCAACCCTTGTACAATATAGGTGAACAATTATACACACTTACAAACAGTTAGTGAAGGCTTGGAAGGTTGTTATTTCCAACCTAATGCCTGTCTTCCAGATTTGTTGCCATTCCAGTCACCCTTCTCTTCACATATTCCAGCTTATCAATATTCCCTAGCTCGGTATTGACTTGTTTAGCTGCCGCGTCGTTGACTCTTGTTCAGCTTGTGGCCTTTCTTAGACTCCTAGATGCTTTCCCCGTGTATTGTTGTCAACCCACATGTTACCTATATCAGTTAATTTTATATATATATATATATATATTCTGTCAAAGTGTAATACTGTACATTTCTACCTACTGACATTCATTTTGTTAAGCTAATCGGCTGAGGTAGTTTGGGACCCTGATCCTGTCCTCGGGGGTCTTCTCCGTCTCTCCCAATTTGGTGTCATCCACAGATTAGATAATTATTCCACGTCTTTAGGGTGTTGTGTGGTTTGGGAGCCTTTCCTCGTGATGTTTCACCTGCATCTGTGGCTGGCACCTTCAGGGGATGCCAGCCACAGGTGCAGGCAAAACATCAGGAGAAAATGCTGTTGGAACATGGCCATTCGACTCAGAAACTACACAACACCCCAATAATTCCAGCCGCGAAAGCCTTTGGCAATACATTCCCGCTTTACTTTTATCTAAGTCATTGGTAAAGATGTCGAATGGTATTGGGACCAGGACAGAACCCTTTGGCGCCCCATTGGTCACTTCGCTCCAGAATGAAGAGGAATTTAGGGACAGGTCAGTCAGAATTGGGGCAACCACTGCAGTTGGTTTAGGTTTATTGGACAGCCATATAAAGGCCACTGTCAGCTTGGAAAAACCTACCTAATAGGTGTGCCTTTGGGCCGTGGTGGCGCGGCGGGTTAAACTGCTAAGCTGCAGAACTTGCTGACTAGAAGGTCAGCAGTTTGAATCTGCGGGACGGGGCGAGCTCCTTCTGTTAGCCCCAGTTTCTGCCAACCTAGCTGTTGTTCACAAGAACAGGAATCCCTCTCTGACCTTAAACACCACGCCAGCTTGGTAAAACTAACAAGCAGTTTATTGAAGAATATGTGTAGGCAAAACAGTTAAAATGTTCCAAAACAAAGAATAATCCATGAACTTCAAGGCGAAGCAAGATACAAGAATCCATGAAATAAGGAATGAGAATCCATGAATTATAGCAGCATGAGAAATCCAATACACAAATCAGGAGCTGAGTAACAACCAAGAATGCGTGAAAGCAAGACCGCCATGAAATTCCAACATTGAGCCAACTCCTGTGAATCAATATAAAGCTTTTCCAGATCCCAGAACTGAAAGGAAAGCATTTCTCTTGACCTTAGACCCAGATAACGATGGCTTATCGCTCTTTTGCCGCAAATGAGCGGATTTTCTTTGTGCCTGAGTGAGCACTCTGTCTCTGTTTACAAAAGCCTTGTAATATCATGGAATCAATATCATGGAATCAAAATGGAATAAACCCTATAACTGTGTAGTATGGATGGCCCATGATCCACAGAAATTGGATCGCTCTGCACCTGACAAATCGTCTTCAGACAGTTCCTCTGACAAAGACTGTGAAGGGCCTCTCCCAGGAATGTGACCTTGTGAATCTTCTGGAGTCAGCTTGGGCCAAGGCAAGCCCTCATCCCCATCGCCGACAGACCCGGGCCCACCATCAGGAACATCATCCCCATTCCCATCATGAACATCAGACACAATCACAGGCTGACATACAACACTTGCAGTTCAAAAGCATGCAAATGTGAGTAGACAAATAGGTACCACTTTGGCGGAAAGGTAATGGCGCTCCACGCAGTCATGCCGGTCACATGACCTAGGAGGTGTCTATGGACAACTCCAGCTCTTCAGCTTAGAAACGGAGATGAACACCACCTATGTGTACCTTTAGTTTCGGGACTCTACAAGTACAATCTTTGGCTCTGGCTCGTCACATATTTGGCCAGACGGCACGTGATAATTTGTCTTGGCTGGGATGCAGGGGGATGTGGTGGGATTGCTTACTGCAAACCAACACTTGGTAATCTCCCTGGCAGTGTGGTCATACCGTTGGGACATATAGAAAAGGACTGAACCCAACTGATAGCCAAAGTGGGCTTGGATACAACCTTCAGGTTTAGCCTGTTAGAATGGTTATGCTGGAGCGGGGGTGGGTGGCCTACCCGAAATCCATGTTGCTCAGGGCAGAGTCAAGCAGCGCCAAGTGGCAAGGGTGGCACAAAGTGGTTTCATGTGGATCTCAGTGGTATCATCTCAGGATGACCCGGCAGATTATTATTATTATTATTATTATTATTAAACTTTATTTGTACCCCGCTAGCATCTCCCGGAGGATTCGTTGCGGCTTACAACAGGCCGAGGCCGCAACAATACAACATAACAATATAAACAAGCAATCAAGCAATTAAAACAAATTAAAGCAAAAATAAACAACAAGCAAAATACATTAAAACACAGTAAAACTGGGCCGGGCCAGAAGTGGGTACAAGGATTAAAAGTGCTGATTAGACAGGAGGTGTATAAAGGGTTTCTAGGGCAGTACCATGTGCAATGTGCAGCAGTCATTGGTTCTGGCAAAGTGCTTGTGGGGCTTGGGGTGGGATGATTGTTTGGAATGACAGGTGGATCTGAACCTCATGCCACCTGAACACTAATAAAGTGGTGACCTTTGTTTACCCAAGTTGTGTTTATTGGGAAGAGGGACCCTCTTCCTTGAGCCTTAGACCCCCCCCCCCCCAGGCTTAAGGAGGGAGGAAAAGTTCAGGGCCTGAGGTGACCTGAGAAGAACCTTTGCACTCGGAGGCTAATTTCAGGGCCTTGGGATCTCATGCCAGATCAGGAGACACTGACCTAAAAAGTCACCTTGGGAGTTGTAGTTCCTGGGATCAAATCAAAGAGCATTCTGAACTCCACCCAGTCCGACTCCCTTCTTCACCAGGGCAAGGAAACACCATCCAAGCCCTCCTGACAGAGAGCCACCCAGCCATTGAGATAGATAGATGGATGATACACACATGACAGAGACAGTATCCTAGACTGGAAGAAGGACCGTCCAGAAGGACGAGGAGACGCGGCCTGTGCCAGAGTCGGCCAACCAGACCCTCTCCACGTCCACACTGACCCAGACACAGCAAGAAACCCTGTTGACCCGCAAGCGTAGATTGCCAGCACTTTCTCATCCCTTGATTTGGCAGATCACCAAGCTGGGCCACAGCAACGCCTGGCAGGGGACGGATAGCACGAAATACTACATTAGGAGAGGTATTATTAGTATTAGATTGGCTTACATCTCAGTATCATAGAATCCTAGAGTTGGAAGAGACCTGGTGGGCCGTCATCCAGTCCACCCCCATTCTGCCAAGAAGCAGGAATATTGCATTCAAATCATCCAGCCTCTGTTTAAAAGCTTCCAAAGAAGGAGCCTCCACCACACACTCCGGGGCAGAGAGTTCCACTGCTGAACGGCTCTCACAGTCAGGAAGTTCTTCCTCATGTTCAGATGGAATCTCCTCTCTTGTAGTTTGAAGCCATCGTTCCATTGCGTCCTAGTCTCCAGGGAAGCAGAAAGGAAGCTTGCTCCCTCCTCCTCCTCCCTGTGGCTTCCTCTCACATATTGATCCATGGCCCTCATCATATCTCCTCTCAGCTTTCTCTTCTTCAGGCTAAACATGCCCAGCTCCTTAAGCCGCTCCTCATAGGGCTTGTTCTCCAGACCCTTGATCCTTTGAGTCGCCCTCCTCTGGACACATTCCAGCTTAGAGTCAATATCTCTCTTGAATTGTGGTGCCCAGAATTGGACACAATGTGATTCCAGGTAAAGTGGTCTAACCAAAGCGGAATAGAGCATGGGGAGCAGGACTTCCCTAGATCTAGGCACAATGATGCTCCTCTTGATGCAGGCCATTCATGTGTATACAATATATTATTAGCACAGTACAATATTATTAGTAATATTACATGTAATATATAATTATTATATTGTATTATCATTAGTATTATATTTTTTTATCGTGTCAGGAGTGAACCCAAAGACTTGTATTGCATTAAACACCAACCAGCCAACAAACCAAACACAAAGTTGGCAGGCTTGGCCTTCTGTGGACCCGTCGCTGGCCCCTTGGCGTGCCTCCGGTGTGGCTGCGAGAAGGCCCTCCCTGGCGCATCATGTGGCCGGGCTCAGGCGGCATGGCCAGAGGGGTCAGTGGCGGGCTCTCCTCCGCTCTCCTCGCATGTCGTGGACTCCCCGTGGTGGCCCTGTTCCTGAAGGTTGGCTCTGCGCCTTCTCGTGGGGCCAGAGCGCAGCCTGCCCAGCGCCTGCCTGCCTGCCTGCCTGCCTTCCTTCCTTCCTCCCTCCCTCCCTCCCTCCAAGTCACCCTGTCTTCTGTGTTTCCTTTTCACAGAAATTAGTATTTTATCGTCTTGCATTACAGCATGATTCTCAATATTAGAGATGTCTACAATATAGTCTAATGTTAGCCCAGCACAATTCGAGCATTCTCTATGACTGTGTTGTTGTTGCTGTGGGGAGGGACCTAGGACACATGGTGGAACTCTATCTTCTGGCTCCCCTTCTACTACTACTACTACTACTAGTAGTAGTAGTACTCAAAGCCTGTTCATGGGCTGAGTGACGCACTACCTTCAGGGCAAGAGGGAATCATGGGACATGCATAGGATGGTGTGCTTCCCCTTTATTGCTCCTCTGCAGGTGTTCTGTTGAGTTTCTCAAATCTCTCTCAAGGACCCTTGATTGGATCCAGACCAGCTGGGATTCCTGTCTTTCCTCTGCTTCTCCATTTCCTTTTTCTTCTCCTCATT